CTATCCACGTTATCGTGCCAAAAATCCATAGTTGCAAAAAATTTTGTTTTAATCTAGCTCAATTCTAACATATACTAAACTTAACACAACGAGTCCGCAGTATTTTGGCGAAACTTTTATATCCAAATGATCGCGATGAAAATTTGTTAGGCACAGTGAAGTATTTAATATATTACGTTGAAAATACTTTTTAATATCAGGGTCAAATAAAATGTTCAGAAATTCATTTTCATAGCATAACGAAATAGCTGGCGCTGATTGAAAGGTATATTTATTTGTTGAAGTTTTATAATTAACAAGGTTAACTGATGTTTGTGTGGGGTACCTCAGATATTCAAATAATAACAAATGTACCTGATATATAATTATTGGTATGGTGAATATTGCAAATACATTGCGCCATTTATATTTTAATAATCGTTTAGTAAGCAAAATAACATTTTCGATCAAGTTTTTTATGAATTGTATCTGGTATAATTTTGAATAAATATATAATGCGAATATTTTTACGCGAATTAATATGTGTCTAATGAGAGCACTGGTATCTATGAACGACACCCCAAACCACAAACCAATGAGTCCTCCGATGTTTGACAGGAAGTCGACGAATGAATACCTTTCCACTGATTTGTAGTGAAATTCTTGCCGTAATTTGTATTCAATCCTAATTTTGCTGTCATTTCTTGCGGTGAATTCAATGTCTTCTAATTCTAATGAATAGTATTTTTGGTCACAATTCGTATCGCAATCGCAATCATATTTTTCCACAAAAGCAGTGATATTAACATAATTTGAATCGTTATTATCGCATATCTTATACTGTGTTTGACTGGCATTCAAAAGAATAAATTCTTGATTTATGTAAGGATTGGGTAAACATCGGAATGAAGAGTAAAATTTGTTGAAACATTTCTCTCGACATTTATATAGAGTTAAAGCATCATCTAGGTAGAAAACAAAATATAATTATTTGTAATTATATATACGACAAAAGTTATTTTTAACAATAACTGTTTGCAGGGATTTTATTTAAGGGAAATTGCAGGGAAATTAAAAGTAATTTTAAGGTAAATTAGTTAGCTTTTATATAAAATTATGCGAAGTTTATATTTTTATAAACATTTTACACAATATATCTGGAAAAGCATAACAAACTGAGTCTTTCAAAAAACGTTTTAATTTTAGCTTTACATGTAAAATATGTAAAATAATATTAGAAGATTTTAAAAACTAAACTCAGTTTGTGCTGCCCTTCCAGATATCTTCCATAATATAAATAAATACCTGTTTTCAGACATCTCTTCATATAAGGATTGGACAGCAAATGGAAATGAGTTGTCGTTATCTTCAGTCTCGCATTCAATCCAATTCTCTTCGTCTGAATCCATTCATCTAGAGATACTATATGTGAGGGGTTCAGGGGTTTCGTGAATACATAGAACCGGAAATAATCCGGGAAATATATTTTCTCGAAAAGTGAATAATAATTGCTTTTGTAATCAAGCAAATCATATATTTTTGTTTTATTTGTTTCAAAATATCTATTTATTAAAAACTTTTGTTGCGTTTCATAATTGATGTCAAACTGAACGAAATCATCGTCAATGAGATACTGGTTATCAGTATTTGTGTAGAAATACGTGAAACATATTCCGAAGTCTTTATTCCCATAAATAGTCTCCAAAACGGCATAACTTTGTGAACAATCAGTCATTACATGAGAATCACTGCTATTATTGTCATTATTATTGGTTTTGTGTTTAAAATGCAATTTTTCTGAACATTTGATGAGTTGTGAAGACTTTATGGTAAAGTTGTCATACAATTCACGAAATGTTAGATTTGATAGCAATTGTTGTTTATATGGTTTTAGATATTCATTAATCATAAAATTATACTTATTTTTAAACTCATCACAAATAGGTTGCCAAAAACCATTTACAGTGGACTTATACGGCTTAATACAGTCATCATACAAATCATTTGAATGTTGTTTAGCCCACAGTTTGTATGACTCGTAATCATCGCTGAGATTAAAGTGTCGGACAATCCGTGTCTTATCGAAAAACACATCCCTTTCCGTACAGATAGTAATCGGCGGTAAATCCAAGCCCTCAGAGGTTTCGACACCAAACTTATAAACATAGGGATAGTGTAGGAAATCTGCGATTATCTCAAAGCCCTCGTAACATAATATTATGAAACATAATACTTTCAAAGCTAATAGATATTTTGATTTAAATTTATCAGTTATAAAGTAATATACTTTCTTTACAACTATACATAAACTGATTATAATATTTTTGATTAACAAACAAGTTGTACCCGGCCGGTAGTCTCAGGGGTATCTTATTAATCCAGTTCTCGTCGCAGTCATACTGACCCATTTTGCACTTATTTTTATGGGCCGGTAGTTGCCACTTGTTATCAGTAGTGCCGACCACTTCCAACTGGTGCTGATTTAGACACTCTTGGGTCACCTCATGCAGGGGATCGGTAGCATTACATATACGGAACTCGTAGTATCCGTCATGATTGGCCACCACGTGTATCTGGGCAGTTATGTTTGAGCCGGCCTTATATGTATTGTATGTTTTGGGATTTTTGGCGTACTCTCCGTTTGGGAACTCGTTTTCTCAGTCACCGTTGTAGGGGTCGCCACATATCCCACATTTGCCAGCGTTTAGGTTCACTTGATTCTGGAGTTATATTATAAATAAATTATGAGAGAGAGAGAGAGAGAGAGAAAGAGAGAGTTGGCAAAAATGATCTCTGCAATTATTACACACCAACTTTTTTATTATTTCAAACATATTGAATATGTCATAAAGTATTAGTATAATGTGTTACAGTTTATATCATAAAGTCATAACATTTAATTTATTATTAAGTACATGAAATTTTATCAATTTTAAAAAAATATATTACGAGAGAGAGAGAGAGAGAGAGAGAGAGACTTACCGAGAAATCGCCACAATTCAAACCATCGTCATTATTATTAACAGGGCGAGTTTTATCGTACGTCCAACAGTGTGACCAACTCCGGTTTTACAATTAATGGACAATCAGATAAAAATAATGACAAAATAGTGGACAAATAAAGGACACCAATTTTTATTGTAGAAATGAATTACAATTTTTTGAATTTATATTTTTCGGTTGATTTGACAGATTTTAACAATTTTTGGTTAGATTTAACATAATTTATAAATTCACTGCACTCCATATTAAAGTTTGTTTTAATGCATATCTCGGCTTT